TATTCTTAGTTCTCTACGCAATAACTTAGCTGAATTACTCCTTAGCGAATGTCGCGTTACAATTCGTTATTGTTAAATGCTCTTCCACCAGATTGCCTGTGACGAAAATCTTTTTGGTGACGAAAACTGGGTCCAATGCGGTGAAAGTATTCTTTTTTGAGTCATAATAATGCTGAAATGTTAATAATAATCTTTACTAAGAAATCATTATATATATATTTTTTTTTGGTTGACTTTATTGAATAATAACAGTTGCATACCGAATGGCTTATGTATTAATTTTATTAGAAGAAATTAAACCAAAACGCAGTTAAATTAGTACAGAATCTATTAACCTCGTACCAAGCAGAGCGATAATCTTTCACAGGTATAACAGTGGCAGTAAAATAAATATCGATAACTCCGCTGTCATAAAAATAAAGTTCATCCTCTGTTTTATTTAATATGTGAATATAATTCTGTGTTTCAAACACCGTAACTGTATTCTTTAAGTCCACATTTTCTGACTGTCGAACCTGTTGTTCTACAGCTTTTCGTTGAAATCTCTTCACCGCTTTCTTATTTCTCGCTAGATTCGACTTTTTCAAAGAAGCTTGCAAAGAATCTTGAAAATTTTGTTGTGCTGACTCCCAGATTATCTAAACTGTTATCTTTTATTCTGTCATATAATGTATGCTGCAAATGCTGAAAAATGGTATAATTTTTTATAGTTCAAAAATTTGTCATATTCTCAAAAAAATTGCTGTGTTAACCTGATATGGAATTTGTGACTGCATTGTAATAAATGAGGTTTGTTTAATAGCAGGGAAGATTCCCGGTTTACAATCATCCATAAGCACCAAGAAGTTGGTCAAGTGTTCCTCCACTTTACATCTTACAAGTAAATTTCTAAACTCAAGTATATTATTTCTGAAAAATTTTTTACTAAACAACCAAACTTAATAGAACAAAACAATTTGAAGAAAAATACACTTGAAAAACAGAAATGCAGCAGCAAGTCGCCTTTGAAAAATTAAATCTTTGTACCATGTTTAAAGCTGTAAAAATAATAGATGACAGCAGATTGCAATAACACAATTATTGCTTCTTTCAACAGTATCTATCCTGCTTTTATATCTTTATCCCTATTTCACTTGTTTACAATTTAAATATGAACACTTAATGCACGTTTCAACTGATTTCGGTACAACACTCAAACTAACTTGCATATTTCTGATCACTAAAAGAATTAGACTCATAACAGCACAGCTATCTGACAAAAAAACTGTTGACAATCTGCACTTTCAGTCAAACAGACTGTACTATATAGTCGATGTTTTGCCAAGCTACTGTTACCTCCAATAGTTTCTTTACTTCTCAAAGCTCTAGGTTTTTTTTAAGAACTTGTAACTAATTAAAAAATACACTACAGTCATCATGGCAAAATGATTCATTAATTGATAACGACTTCAATATGTGGAAACCACAACAAATCATCTGTGAAACCAAACAAATAAACAAAATTTTTTCTCAAGTGAAAACCAAACAATTTAACATTTTGGTCTAGATTAAACCTCTGCAAAAAAAAAATTTTTTAATTTTGCTTTCACGGTTTAAACAGAAAACTTAAAGCAGATTATCAGTGAGTAAATAAAAATTAGATTGAATAGAAGAAGGTGAAAACAGAGAAAAAAAAACAGGACAAGTCTATAAACCATTAGTATTATTGTACATCTATTTACGACCAAATAGAGTAGAAAAACTATCAAAAAACTGATGGCCCTGCTAAGGTTCCTAATTAATTCCCAACATTGACCGTATAATCGATTAGTTACTTGTAAAGCAAACAGATACACTTATCACACACTAAAGATTAAAGAGCTTAACTGTTGTTTTTGTACCAAGTCTTTCATATTTTTGTTGAAAACATTTCTCTAAAAACTATAATAGCTTTTTCTAAAAAGCTGAAAAGTTTGAAAAACAATAATCCTATTTGTTTGTAATCCCAAAAATTCTTTATTTTCTAATATTTTTTGCAAATGAAAAACAACAATAAAAAACAGAACAAAATGCACTGTTTTGTAAAGTATATCAAGTCTGAACTTTAACTTTAACGCTGTTATAATTCATCGTGAACTTACCGAGAATAATGTGTGATTCTTTCCTGGTTTTTCCAGCTTTTCACGATTAGACATAGAAAATCTGAATTGGCATCTACTTCAGATATCCCAAAACCCGGTTGAACATTAAATTTTTTATCCGTTCCTGTAATTAAAGAAAGTAAAGTGTAAGCTAGACCTTAGACCGATAAACAAAACAGAGTGGGAAAGAATAAACTGAATTACAATTTGAGGTCTAAGCTGCAACAACAAACTAAAAAACTTGCAGCCAACTGACATAGAAATTTAGCAGTTTTAAAGTTTTGTTTCTTACAACAAGTCTACGAAAGTTCAACGAAATGGTAGCTATTAAAAGTTTTAGTGCTTTCCTGTTCCCTATTTCCATTATTTTTTACTGATTCCCGATTCCTTTCATTAATCCGCTTTTGGCTAGAACTAGTTTAAAGCAAAGTTAACTCAGTTACAACCACTTATGCACTACACTCTACACTTACGGTCTAAAACTGCGAATAAGTGAAAAATGTTTATGACGGTAAACTGGCTAAAAAATGAAGCTAATCTGAACAAATTTAAATTTTGCCCTTAAAGTGATGAGTCGACCATAGACAAGATTAATTACGGTCTCACAAAACTTCTCTTCCACAAAAAAAAGGTTGAAGAAATAAAGTATAAAAAAAATGAAAAAATTACAAAAAATTGTTAACATCAAAAGTCAACGAAAGACAACAAATCAATCAAATTTGAGCCACCAAATAGAATGATAAAACGATGCTCAACGAATACAAAAAAAAAAAA